TCTCAGAGCCGAATTATCAGCAAAGGCTTGGGGGCACTGCTTGCACTTAAATGGCTTTTCACCAGTGTGTGTTCGATTATGGCTTCGCAGATGGGAACTTGAAGCAAAGGCTTGGAGGCACTGCTGGCACTTGAACGGCTTTTCACCGGTATGCGTTTGATTATGAATTCTCAGAGCCGAATTATCAGCAAAGGCTTGGGGGCACTGCTTGCACTTAAATGGCTTTTCACCAGTGTGCCTTCGATTATGCAATTGCAGATGACAATTTTGAGAAAAGGCTTGGGGGCATTGCTTGCACTTAAATGGCTTTTCACCAGTGTGTGTTCGATTATGGGTTCGCAGATCGGAATTTAGAGCAAAGGCTTTGGGGCATTGCGTGCACTTAAAAGGCTTTTCCCCAGTGTGCAGATGATTATGGTAGGTCAGAAGGGAATTACAAACAAACTCTTTGGGGCAAAGCTTGCACTTAAATGGCTTTTCACCTGTGTGTGTTCGATTGTGGTAGGTCAGACTTTTATTCTGAGCATAGGATTTAGGGCATTGCATGCACTTAAATCGCTTTTCACCAGTGTGTATTTGATCATGACAATTCAGAAGGGAATCATAAGCAAAATCTTGGGGGCAAAGCTTGCACTTAAATGATTTTTCACTCTTGTGCTTTTGAGTTTTGCCAAGCACTTGGGACTTAGAACCTGAAAGGGGAAGATGCTGGCACTTGGATTGTTCATCACCATGGGCCGCCAGGTGGCTCACAATTCCACACTGATCTTTAGTGACATAGGTGCAGGAACAACATCTGAACCAGATGTCCTCGGTGACTTTCAGTGGGCAGCTGGTCTCCCCCAACAATGTGGCTCCATCACCTAAAAGAAAACACTATGTATTGACCCACAAAAGCCCAAACAAAATAGTCAATTAGTTTGGCAAATGAGTAGTCATTAATGCCGTTCTGCCGCAGCTGTACAGTTTAATATTTCGCTGCGCTTTGGAATTCGGTTCACGGAAGCACTCAAATGCGACTGGTATTATTAAAGGGCCACTGAAAAAAGTTTCTTTAAACAGCCTGGTCGGGGCATGCTGTCAAGAAATGAATTTTATGCAATAAACAAAATTTTTAAAGCAATATTGATGGCGCGAGATTTTTTTTAAATTTTGCGCGCAAAGTCCATGACGTCACAAAATGGTCATACACTCTTTCCACCTGAACGAGATAGTCGTACTTTCTCCACCTTAACGTGATGGCCAAGCCGATCCACCTCTTCTTCGAGCGCACAAAATGCCGAGAAAACAAGTGGAAAGGAGGTGACTACCGAATAAATCGCGTCAACGTCGCTCTAAACCCATCAATATTGCTCTAATTTTTTTGCATAAAATTTATTTTTTGATGCACATGTTCCAACCAGACTGTTTAATCTAAAAAATAAATTTTCTTTTCAGTGTCCCTTTAGGAAATGAAAAGTGAAAACCCAGAAAAAATTGTATACCCTTTTTATTTTTATTTCTAAATCACACTTTACACATCTCGCTTTGGAAAGTAGTCCTGTCTTCTCAGAATTTTCTCTTTTTTGTCACAAGAAAATCCTCGTCTTGAAAAGTGAAAATCTGGATCTGTATGCGCCTTGGGGGGCTGGATACCTCATTATTCAGAGTGCAACAGAAACAATACTTCTAGAGATTTTTAAATATGACATTCTTTAATTTACCAATGACTTTGATTATGGCAGGTCTGACCGAAAGTCTTCTTTGAAGTTACCATTAAAAGAATTTCTACATGTGATGCAGTCATGTCTCACTAATATGGATGCAACGCTATATAGACAAGTTTGAGGGACCAATTCTTCCCCATGCAATTCCGCCTTCTGGATATTAAAACCCACAGTCCAGACTATGGACAGCTAGTTTTGGGAACAAACTGCATAAATACATGCAGGTTTGTCTCATTACGGACACAAGAGGGTCCTCTAATAAAAAAAAGAGCTTAGTTAAGACCTTGAGCTAGAGTTCACCGAGAGTTTCACTACTGTTGGCTGTTGGTTGCGCTTCCTTCGAAAGGCATAAGACCTTCGCACCGAACAATCGTTCAATTTATCTGGGCTTTCCAGCCAAACGCCTAACCTGTACCTCTCTCTTTATGTTACGACATTCTTCAGGTTTGTCATTGTGGCTGCTTTTCTAGCTTGTCTGGCCTCTTTAGTCTATGCACATTTATGGGCAGCCACATTTTGGTTGAACATCAGTCTGGTAACTATGGGCACACCTTGGCAAGGGAATAAATTCGAGAGGGAGCACTTAGCTGGCTCAGGCCACTGAAGGAGTTTTAAGAAGAAACGTATACAGGGCAGCACAAACACAGACAGGGCTAGATTTGAAGATGCAGATCAAATATGCGCTATATGTAAAGAGGAGGGAAACATTTGAACTTGTGATTCTGAAATGTAAGGAGCTTAGTGTTGTTCTTCCTAAAGTGGCGACAAAGATACCGGGTGCCCTGAGTTTCGCTGGAGAAGATGGAAGTGTGGATTACAGTAAAGTATATGCAACAAATAGGTTAGAGTGCTGGTTCAAATTATCTGGAGAAAACTGAATGAAGAACTAAGTAGCACAGCTGGGGGACAGGAGGAAAATCTGGACTCCCTCCCTCATGTCTCTGGAGCAGTTTCAAATCTGTGCCCCAGTGGGTCTCGTTTTGGGGCGATGCCAACAGAAAATTGGCGACTCTGTCGACGGGATGATAAGGAGGGTGTGTTTTTTAAATGTTTTTTGGCTAGGTTGCACAAACTAATGCCCATTATAAAAGGTACAGCTATTAATATTCATTCTTGCATGCGTCCGGATTTTGACCAAAATTGTAAACATGGTATTCTTATATAAATAAACAAAGGAAAAATTTCCTGGACCTAAGAGTACTCTGGCTCGACTGCACTTTTTGTATGTTTCAATGAGTAAGAATCAGCAGCGTGTCTGAAGTTTTTCTTTATGTAGAATCAGAAAGGGTATGTCAAAACGATACACCGTGGATCGATGAGTGTACCTAGATCATATTGTCACGGGTGGTGACCAAAAAAAACAGGAAATAAACAGAAAGAAATAAACGTTTAATGTGGCGAACTTGTGCCAAAAGTAAAAGGGTACAAAAATAATAACAGAGCGTCGCTGGCGTCGAAGTTGGCGTAACAGCAGAGTCGAACGCTGGGGCGAAACTGACTCCGCTCGCCTTGCAGAATCCCTTATGTACCCTCGTGGGTTTCTGGATCGTTCGACGTAGAAGGTTCGGTGCGTAGAACATTCTAACCTCGAATCAGCAAGACGGTTCTCGAATTCACCAGAACATCAAATTACACTGTCAACAAAAATGTGTAGCCGCGGCCAGGAATCGAACCCTGGTCTTCTGCGTGGAAGGCAAGCGCGATAACCGTTAGGCCATGCGCGCACTGCCTACTTGGGCAGCTGCGCGTGCGGCATTACTCCCCCCTTTAAAAAGTGCCTCGTCCCGATGCAGCAGAAAACGAAAACACAGATCCACAGCAAAAGGAAAGCAGACTCGCGAGTCGCACTTAACCGTTCACTCTTTGACGAAAGTCCAGAGTTCTATCTTTCGTAATACGGCTTGAGCCGGACGACGTGCACCACCTCGGGTCGTGGCTGGCGTTTTGCAGATGGGCGCGTTCCGTCGGGTAGAACTTCGTAGTTCAGATCACCGAGCCTTCGGATGATTTTGTAGGGTCCGAAGTAGCGTTTGAGAAGCTTCTTGCTGAGACCACGGCGACGAATGGGAGTCCAGACCCAAACTCTGTCTCCGGGCTGGAAGTGGACGTCCCGACGACGAAGGTTGTAACGGCCAGTGTCGACGCGTTGTTGGGCTTTAATCCGGAGTCTGGCGAGCTGACGGACTTCTTCTGCCCTTTGGGCAACCACCTGGGCGTCGTCGCTTACGTCGACAGCCGGTTCGTGGGGCAACATAGCAACCAGCATTGTCGTTATTTTGCGCCCATGCACCAGTTGAAAGTGTGTCACTCCGGTGGTCTCTTGTACGGCCGTGTTGTAGGCAAATGTGACGTACGGCAACACCTCGTCCCATGTCTTGTGCTCCACGTCGACGTACATGGAGATCATGTCGGCTATGGTTTTGTTGAGTATCTCCGTCAGCCCGTTGGTCTGCCGGTGGTACGCCGTGGTGCAACGATGGCTGGTGTGGCTGAGACGAAGGACTTCTTGCGTCAGCTGGGCCATGAATGATGATCCACAGTCTGAGATCAGGACTTCGGGAACGCCGTGCCGGAGGACGATGGAGTCGATGAAAAACTTGACGACTTCAACACCCAGTTAAAAATAACCATTGGCTCCAATTAGGATATTCAATTGGAACTGGAGTCAATGGAATTCAATTGGTTCTGGGTCATCCAACTGGTCATTCTAATTAGTTTCAATGTTTCCAATTGGTTACACCAACTAGGAACAACAAAATTCAATTGGCACTGGGCCACCTAATTGGTCACTCTAATTGGATTCAATGTTTCCAACTGGTTACCCCAATTAGGACCAACAAAATTCAATTGGCACTCAGCCACCTAATTGGTCACTCTAATTGGATTCAATGTTTCCAACTGGTCATCCCAATTGGGATCAATAAAATTCAGTTGGCACTGGGCCACCTAATTGGTTACTCAATTGGATTCAATGTTTCCAACTGGTTATCCCAATTAGGATCAATAAAATTCATTTGGCACTGGGTCACCTAATTGGTCACTCTAATTGGATTCAATGTTTCCAACTTTATGATTGATCTCCGATTGGGATCAATAAAATTCAATTGGCACTGGGACAGAACTTGCCATTATCTCTTTCCTCACCACAGTTTCCAAAGATCGCAATTTATTATTTTCTTTTTCAGTATTGGTGTGCAAAAAAATTTTTCAACATAGCAATTTGAAAGGGGGGAAAAAAATTCGTACACCATTTAATAAAAAAAAAAAAAAAATCTGTTTCTAGAATTAGTCGGAATTGCCGGCAGCGTCGGTGTACACTGGGCGGCAAAGATGGCGCCGCGAGGACGGAGGAAGCACGAAGCACATGGCGCCGATGGCGTGTACGGCATTCGTAGCATGGTTATGGCAATGATTCAAGAAAGTTTTTTTGTGTTTTACTGCTGCAGAGTGCTCAATGGTGCGGTGATAATTACTTCATTTGACCTGCCAGCTTGTTAGAGCGCGAATGAGTGGCAACAAACGTTTATGGGAGCAAGGTAAGAAATTTTCTTTGTCCTTGCTGCGCTGCAGTTTGGGGATTTCGGATTGTTAGATCTGCTGAGACACTCGTTGTTTGATCTTCAGTGAACGATGCGAGCGTGAATATATAGCTTTAGAGAAGAAAATTTTCCGGGCAGCTATCAGTTCGGAAGTTGTTGGGTATCCGCGAGGAAAGTTAAGTGTGTTTTAAGCATCTCAAAACTAAACTCTGAATTGCTGAAAACACTGCCTGGGCAGTTTCAAAAATTGAAGATTTGGGATTCAAAATTAAGCGATTTCGGGGGCATTTTCGATGAGTGGGAAGTGGGGTGGGGGGGGTCGGTCGGTCGGTGATGTCGGGTCATTACTTCCGGAAGTTGTTGACTTCTAATAAAATAACAGTAGGTGCCGAAAATTTTGCATTTCATCCGGCGGACTATTTGCAGCTATGTTTCAAAATTTACTCTGTCTCCACTCAGGGTAAGTTCAAACACCTACCCGCGTCTTGCGTTGCCTCTGATCCATTCGAGTAAGATTTGGAACACAGCCTGCAATGCACGATTTCTTTTCGAGATACGAAAGACACTTATTTTTTCACCCATGCACACTTTAAGCATATTTCAGGTGCACTGGCCAGCTTTACAGAGATGCCTTTGAATTGACTGTTTCTTCTCCTTAAAGCAGAGATTATGTCTCACAGGCTCATAGGAAACATAGTAGACTTAAACCATCCCAGATGCAAATTTAGCCCAGGCTCGGCAAAAGCTTCATCTCCTAATTTTGACCAGAGTGTTTCCGTCACCCAGGGATGTTTGCCTTTTAATGCAAGGCCTGCAGGTTTATACCACTGCAACTAATTTCTTTGCAGCGAAAAAAAAAGTTTAGTATGTTTCTAAGCTTGATTTAAACATTTATAATCCAATAAGGTCATTTAATGCATATTTATCCTTTATTTTAGGGAAGCTGCAGCTGCTATCCTGGAAGAAAACGACGATGCCTAGAAGCAAGAAATCATTTCTAATAAGTTAAATAAAGACTGTGTGATTATCTACCTTTAGATCTAGTTGCAACTTTTTCTAGTTTGGGATATCCAAACACTAATGGTTGTCCCAATTCATATCTGTCAATATGATTTGAACAGTTGGACCAATTGCTTTTTTCCTATTGGGAGTCCGAAAACAGAAATAGGTTTTTTCCAATTGGTTACAATGCCGAACTGGTTCGAATTGGTGATGTTCAATTAGATTTCGACAATTGAAACCAATCGACTTTTTCTAACTAGGAGTCCGAAATCACAGATAGGATTCCCCATTGGTTCTAATTGTCGATAACTAATTAGAACCAATTGACTTTTTCTAACTAGGAGTCTGAAATCACAGATAGGATTCCCCATTGGTTCTAATTGTCGACAACTAATTGGAACCAATTGACTTTTTCTAACTAGGAGTCCGAAATCACAGATAGGATTCCCCATTGGTTCTAATTGTCAATAACTAATTGGACCCAATGGTTATTTTTAACTGGGCAGCCGTTCCTGATGGAAGGGCTTTTGTCTCGGCGTACCGTGGAGAAAATCGGTTGCGACGATTATCCATCGGTTTCCTTGCGTCGACGATGGGAAAGGTCCGAGTAAATCCATACCGATTTGCTGGAATGGGGCAGATGGCGGCGCAATAGGCTGAAGAAGTCCTGCCGGTTTCGTCGGTGGCTTCTTCCGTTGTTGACACTCGTGGTAAGATCGGGTGTAGTGGTGCACTGTCTTCTCAAGCTTGGGCCAGTAGTACTTTTCGCATATCCTTGCAAGAGTCCTGCTGTAACCAAGGTGTCCCGCCGTCGGGTCATCATGGCAGGCTTGAAAAATTTCTTCTTGAAGACTGGAAGGGATCACCAACAGCCACGCCGTGTTGTTGTCGCTGAAGTTCTCCTTGTACAGTACGCCTTGTCGGATGGAGAAGGTTGGCAGTGTTCGTACAAAACCGCGGGGAACGGCGCTTCCTTGTCCCTCTAGGTGCTCGATGAGTGCACGCAGCTCAGGGTCGTCTCGTTGGAGTGCTGCCATGTCGCTGACATCCAGAGCACCGAGGAAACACTCATCGTCGTCCTCTTTGGTGCAGGCAGGACCGGCCTCGGCTGGGGCCCTTGACAGGCAGTCGGCGTCATTGTGCTTCCGGCCAGACTTGTATACCACGGTCATGTCGAACTCCTGCAGTCGTAGGCTCCACCGAGCAAGGCGTCCGGAGGAATCCTTCAGATTCTTCAGCCAGCAGAGCGAGTGGTGGTCTGTGACCACGCGAAAAGAACTTCCATACAAATATGGACGAAACTTTGTTATTGCCCATACGACAGCGAGGCACTCCTTTTCAGTCGTTGAATAGTTCCTCTCCGCGTTTGACAGCGTCGACTTGCGTATGCGATAACTCGCTCTGCTCCGTCCTGCACTTGCACTAGTACCGCACCCAGTCCGGTGTTACTGGCGTCGGTGTGGATCTCGGTTTCAGCAAACTGGTCGAAATGGCCAAGAATCGGGGGCGTCTGGAGTCTTCGTTTGGGCTTGTCGAATGACCTCTGGTGTTCTTCTGTCCACTCGAACTTTACGGCGTCCTTCGTGAGGTGTGTCAGCGGTGCGGATACCTTGGCGAAGTCTCGGACAAAGCGCCTGTAGTAGGCACAGAGTCCGAGAAATCTTCTCACGGCCTTCTTGTCAGACGGCGGCGTAAATGCAGCTACGGCGCGGGTCTTCTCAGGGTCAGGTAGAACACCCTTGTTGTTCACGACGTGGCCAAGGAACTTTAGTTCCCCATAGGCGAACCGACACTTTGTTGGCTTGAGTGACAGGCCGGCGGTCTTGATGGCTTGAAGCACGGCTCGAAGTCGTCTGAGGTGTTCGTCAAAATCTCGTGAGAATACCACGACATCGTCCAGGTAGATGAGACAGCTCTGCCATTTCAGACCTGCCAGCACGGTGTCCATGACGCGCTGGAAGGTGGCTGGTGCTGTACAAAGTCCGAACGGCATCACTTTGAATTCATACAGTCCGTCGGGAGTGACGAAGGCAGTTTTCTCCCGGTCACGTTCGTCGACTTCAATCTGCCAGTAACCACTCTTCAGGTACAACGACGAAAAATATCGGGAGTGGCGCAGTCGGTCTAACGTATCGTCGATGCGGGGGAGAAGGTAGACGTCGTTCTTCGTCACAGCGTTCAGTCGACGATAGTCCACGCAGAACCGCAGGGTTCCGCCCTTCTTCTTTACAAGGACGACTGGGGACGCCCATGGGCTCCTTGAGGGTTGAAAGATGTCGTCGTTGAGCATCTCCTGGACTTGATCTTGAATCACTTTCCTTTCCTTTAAGGAGACTCGATACGGCGACAGGTGGACAGGAAGTGCGTCGTCGTCGGTAACAATGCGATGTTTCGCCATTGGTGTTTGTCGAATCTTCGATATCGTGGCAAAACAGTGACTGTATTCGGCAAGGAGATCAACCAGTTGCCGGCGCTTCGTAGCTGGGAGCTCGGGGTCGATGTCGAGCGGCGGCGGCGTCGTGCTCTTCTGCTGTGGCGACGAGGTTTCCTCTGAGATTGCGGTGACCACGGCTGGCGCCTAAAGCTCCTCGACGTGGCCCATGATGGTATCCTTCGTTAGGTGCTGCGGCTCCTCTCGAAAGTTTGTCACAAGAACAGTTGTACGTCTTTCTTGGAGATCCGTTACGCCTCTTGCGACCCCAATTCCTTTTTCGAGGAGCAGTTGGACGCTGCCCTCCAGAAGAGCTTCACCGTGCATGGCTGCGTCGGTTATAACGGTGACGAAAACACTCGACTGCGGCGGTAGGTTCACATGATCGGCGATAACTCGGATCGCAGGTTGACGTCGTGTTGGTCTCCACCGGAGGTAAAACAGGTTTTCGCAGCGTCAACTGGTTTGCCCCGAGGTCGATGACGGCGCCATACTCGCAGAGAAAGTCCATTCTGAGGATAACGTCCCTCGAACAGTCTTGCAGAACGACGAACTTCACAGGACACGTTTCACCGTGGGTCTCGACGCAAGCAGTGCATCTCCCGACTGGCGTGATGAGATGTCCTCCGGCGGTTCGTATTTGGGGTCCATCCCATGACGTCATGACTTTTCGCAGGTGGCAAGAGAGCCTCCCACTCAAGAGTGAGTAGTCTGCTCCGGTGTCCACAAGTGCCGATGCGTCGTGGCCGTCGATTATAACGTTTAGATGTTGGACACGATGCAGGGACGTCGTTGTGATCATTAGCGTCGAGAGAGTGGGAGCGCTCCGTCGTTCTTGGAGGCTCTTTACGTCCGTCGTCTTCGGCAACTCCACCTCCAGGGGTTGCCGCGCCTAGTTTCCCAGCGAGGAGCGAGGGGCGACAGGCTTTCATGTCGGGGTCGGTGCATCGGCGAAGCTGGACGTCGCGGTGACGGCGACCGGAACTCTCGGCGGGACGCAGGCTCGGGGGACTGGGGTCGCCGCAGGTACTCGTCGATCTCCCGAGGGCGTTCACCATACCGGGGGCGTGGGTCGTTTGGGTGGAATCCGCGCAGCCCGAGTCGTCGGTATGGGCATCGGCGGTACACATGGTCAGCTTCGCCGCAGTAGTAACACAGCAGGCGTCGGTCGGCCGTCCTCCAGACGTCTGTCTTCCTCGGTGCAGGTCACTCTGGGGGAACGTGCACCTGATCTTCCTGTCGTCTGGGGTACTGCGGCGTTGGGGCGTCTCTTCGGGGCGGCGCCGTGGCTTGGCGGGAAGCTTGCGGCGGTTGTCGGGCCATGGCGGCGTAGCTCAACGTCAGTTCCTCCGGTGCCACCGTGGTGACGGGAACCTCTGGTTGGAGCGCCTGATGCACTTCTTCTCGGACAGCCTCGGTGATGGAAATGGTTGGCGGACGGCTGGTGGTTGGCAGCAACCTTCGCAGTTCCTCCCGGACAACCTCCCGGATAATTTCGCGGATGTCCGTACCAGGCGCGTTTTCGCCGCTAAGCAGCTCGGTTGCAGTGACGCTTGGCTGCCGCTGGTAGTGGGAAGCGCGCGCTTGGAGGGCGCGCTATATGTTTGTCGCCTCGCTGACGAAGGCGTCGACGGTTGCCGGCGGGTTGCGGAGGAAGCCTTCGAAGATGTCGTCCTTCACGCCCCGCATCAAAATGCGCAGTTTCTTACCCTCGGTGGCCTGAGGGTCGGCGCGGGAGCTCAGGCCGAGCACGTCTTCCACAAAGCTCGTGACGCTTTCATTGGGGCCCTGGGTCCTGGTTCGCAGTAGGTCCTCAGCTCTCTCTCGGCGGTGGTGGTTGACGAACGTAACCTTCGGATCGGTCTTGAAAATGTCCCACAACGTCAAAGAGGACTCATGGTTCTCGTACCAGTGCTTGGCGGTCCCCTCAAGCGAAAAGTAGACGTTGTGCAGGCGCTGTTCGTCGGTCCAGCCATTCTGGCGGGCAACGCGTTCATACTGGTCAATCCAGTCTTCCGACTTCTTGGTAGAGTTCACAGTGGAAGGGGGCAGCCGTCCGCGGTACGACGGGAATGTAGATGACGGGAGAAGCGGCGGGGGCTTGCGACTGGTAGGCCATCGTCGTCTTCTTTGGCTTGGGTTTGTCCAGAAGCAAACCGTACTCAGGATCCTCTCCCTTGGTACGGCGGCTGGTCCGAGTTTCAGGTTCTGCGGTGAGTGGTCTTCTCACCGAGCCGGGAATCGGACTTGCACTGCGGGCCCTTGGAGGGGAACGCTGCACGGGCATGCGGTACCCCGCACCTCAACCAAAATGTCACGAGTGGTGACCAAAAAACAGGAAATAAACAGAAAGAAATAAACGTTTAATGCGGTGACCTTGTGCCAAAAGTAAAAGGGTACAAAAATAATAACAGAACGTCGCCGGCGTCGAAGTCGGCGTAACAGCAGAGTCGAACGCTGGGGCGAAACTGACTCCGCTCGCCTTGTGGAATCCCTTATGTACCCTCGTGGGTTTCTGGATCGTTCGGCGTAGAAGGTTCGGTGCGTAGAACATTCTAACCTCGAATCAGCAAGACGGTTCTCGAATTCACCAGAACA